TATTAATGAAGCTGTGATTCAGCTCGTCACCTTACCTCACCGATCAGGACGTTCTGTAGATGGTGGCAGAGATGGAGCAGGTCAAATCTGAGGCTTCTGCTAACTTAACACCCACAATGCAGTTTGTGTGGAAAAACAATTTATTTATACAATTAAACACAAATTGAATGAAAGAACATTTTATGATATAAGACTACAGATACATTTCTGGGCCTCATAAATGTTGTTCTGTAAGCCAGGGTCCCTGTTCTGGGTTTAAGTGTCACAGTTGGAAGATGATGCGCTCGACCTTCATCATGTACGCTGGTTTCAGGAAGCTCTGCAGTTCGCTTTTCTTCAGCCACAGAAAAGAAGCGTTAGGAGCTGCAGGGCGAGCGCTGTCTGACAGAATGGCTTTGAAGAAGAACACCTTTGTTCCCACCAAGCTCTCCGTCCTAACAGCTTTGGGCAGTTTGTACTTGTAGACTCCGCAGGGGGCGTTGCTGAGGAAAGTCGCCTTGAAATCAGCTGCTGTGGGAAGAGAACAGGTTGTGAGTTAATGGAGACAAAAGGTGAGCAAAAGTGCGGCTGTTCCTAAAAGTTAATGCAGCCGTACAACTGTATAATTAAACGTGTGATGCTCTGTTACTCATCCAATCTCATGTCATCTTAATCACATGCTCCCAGTTGGCTCGTAATGCAGAGTAAGGCAGCAACATGGCTATGTTAGAGATTCAATTTCCCACGGAGTTCAGCTTTATTAAAAATGAATCGCCTCGTGCCACTGCAAGACGCTTTAAATAAAACCCTCCACCAAATGACACACGTTAATGTCAAGTGGAAAGTCTTAATGGGGAGTGATTGATGGAGTTGGCACATTAATAGTTCATGAGCAGTGTTGTGAAACAGTTTAACATAGTCACTGGCGTTTTATTTAAGCTTAAAGGCTTGATTTCCGTCGGATGCGGAGAGAAAAAGGAAGAAAAAAAAGACAGTTTTACAGCCAATGTTAAATATGGGTTGTGAGACATCATTACAGGGTCACTGGAACATTTGTTCCATGTTTTGCCAGCTGTGACTTCAGACTTCCTTCTTGTCATTCGCTTACTGTCGCTGATCCATGAGCTGAAGCTTAATCAATCTACAGCTGACTGATCTGTGGAGGTGTGAGTGGATATGACAACTGCTTGGAACATGATTGGTAAAAAGCTGCACATATACATGAATCCTTGCTTGGAGGTTTAAGGATGGTTTGACCCTCTTGTTGTAGTTAGCATGGAGGATTGTACTGAAAAGTACCACACAGCTATTTTCGATAAGATCACATTAAACTTAAATGATCCTGAGGATAAAACTGGGTCATTGCAGCAAAAGAGATTAGGATGTAGATCCAGTAATAAAGCAGCAAATGGAGCGTGTTGACAATAACACAACCTATAAGAGTACCTTATATCCTAGCCCTAAGCTATGGTTTTGAGGTTAATTGAAATATATTATAACCAATTTCCACATGCCCTCCTCACTCTTCAATATCCTGTCTGTTTCCCTTGCAGTTTACTTACACTTAATATTCTCCTAAAGAGATGCTAGAATTCACATAAGATAAGGCAGTAAAGACCACAAGTAACTTTTGTAGTAAAGATAAAAATGAACCATTATCTATCATAAAATATCAGTGCAACTAAATCTGACTTTAAGTAACATTAGTGCAGTGATAATGGAGACATGTAGCTTTTTTCTTGCAGCATGATAACCAATTTCAATATAATGAAACAGAAATGTATATAAATACAGGAAAATGCATTCACAGTTTCATTTTGTTGTTTGTTTTTATTGTGTCCTCCCTACTGCTGAAACCAACCCTACACCCAGAGATGTCATATTTTGCAATATTTATCAGTTGACATGGCCAGACTTTGGAGTGACTTGTTGTATTATCTTTATATTGTCTCTACTTCATCTTTATGTATATTTTTATATTTTCTTCTTTGTTATGCACCAGTGTACCCAGGCAAATTCCTTGTATGTGAAAACCTACTTGGCAATATAACTGATTCTGATTCAGACCTCCCCAATAATTAAACAACATACTTCATATTAGCTCAAAGTCATTAGTATTGATTACTGTCTTTAATGATGACAGGCATTGGTCAGTTTGCTGAAAGATTTAATTAAAGCCCCTGTGTAGGATTTGAAAACTTCTACTTTGGTGACTCCTAATAGTTGACTAAAAAAATTGTCAGGAAGCGTCAGAATTAAAATAATTATAAATGTGATGTCATAATCACATGCTGTAAAAAATCTGCACATACGCATTTCTGATATCATCCAGTGTTGTCTACTTGTCTGACATTTTATATAATTTAATGACAGAATTAATACTTTTCATAGTTGGTTTAAAGGTCCAGTGTGTTCGATTTAGTTGGCTCTATGGAATATAATATATAATATAATAAGTAAAGAAAGAAAACATCTTTAGCAATGTGTTGACACATCAGCTTTTAAAATCAAATGCTGCAAATAAATAAAACACAGGCAAATTAAAGGTCCAGTGTGTAATATTTATGAGGCTTTATTGGTAAAAATCATTTTCATCAGTGTATAATCACCTGAAAATAAGAATTGCTGAGTTTTTGTTACCATAGAATGAGTCATTTATATCTACAGACGCCACCGGACACCTGGAGTCCTCCATGTTGAAGAACGGACAAACCAAACACTGGCTCTAGATAGGGCCAGTAGTTTCTCCTGCATGCTTAGAATGGGATGGTGAGGCGAGGTGGCTACAATCTGCAACTTCACCACTAGATGCCACTAAATCCTGCACACTGGTTCTTAAACAGTAGGCCTACATGCATTTAGGAGCTACATTATACCCGAAAATAACTGAAGAAATGGTTTGAGTGGAGTTTGAATTCTAATTTTGAGGCTATAAAAACAGTGAAAGATTGAACGTCAGTACAAAACATCAGCAGCTCCATTTAAACAGGACTTGCATCAGCCAAACTCATGTTTATGTTACCTGGCAGGGAAGCGAGGGCTCTCTCGGCCGTCTGCCGCAGCGTCTCTCCCTCCTGCCACTGAGCCTGAGGCAGCAGCCACAGCTTCTCACCGGCGACCTGCTGCTCAGCCAGAAGAGTCAGCGAGTTGGCCAGGCAGCGCTCCGGTGAGGTCAGGTCCTTATCTACATCATCTAAACAAGAGACGGGACCGTCAGCCGCTCCACAACAGCTACGTCTCTCTGTGACTGTCGTGCAAAATCTACACAAACTTTCGAAATGTCACAGGGAATAAAACAAAAACAAATTGGGAGTGCTGGGGCGAACACATTTTCTGAATGTCAGAAAAACATCAGAATCCCGCACTGGAAGTAATTGAAGTCTCTTTGCTCCCCGATTACTTTCTTTTAAACCCACATCTACAAGACGCCTTCAGATGATCTAATTTCCTTTTCTAGTCTGTTTTACTTGACTAGAGATTGCAGCAAGACAAAAGCCTGAATGCTAGAATGTATTTCATCAGGCACATTTGCAACATTTATGTATATTTCCACGCAGTCTATATTCTGCTTTACTTGTTCACCCACTGGTCAAACATTTTGTCCAGTTCCCATACTGACCTACGACCCTCGGCGCTGGCTGGAAGTTCTTCAGCTTCTGCTCCCACATGTCTTCCAGGTCCTGAGCCAACAAGATTTCCTGGTCCTTGCGGTTGTCCTCTTCGTCTGAGTCATAGTCGCCCGCCTGCTTGCGACTCAGTCTCTCAGCGTCCTGCAGCAGACGCAGCTCGTGCTCTGACAGCAAGCTTTTCTCCAGCTCTATCTGAAATGAAGTGAGAGCAGGTTAATTATAAGTGATATATGTCAAATAATAATGTATATTACAAACAAACAACCTGCATGTACTTTATTAATCTGTTAGTCTTAGGTGGTATAAGCACAATTTGCTAAACTGAAGATCCTCCCCAAGTAATTAGAAAGGGTTTTAGATTTTATCATTTTTTTTCAATTTTCTGTGACCCATCAGATCTGATTATATTTTTCCACTGCCTATAACAGGTGCTTCCCATGTACCTGTGCTGTTACAGGTCTGTCTGCAGAGCACTTCATCTCAACCCCTCAAACTTCAGTCACATGTGACGGGACACAGATTTCGGGGACAGGGAATGTGGACTGGTTCACCTGAAGTTGGACGACGTAAAGGCAACCTGTTTTGCCTTTCTCTCCATCACTGCTTACACCTGTTGACGCAGAATGAACGCACCTGCTGGATCATGTCTCTGTACTGCTGCTCCATCGGGCTGTACTCAGCTGTAATCACCGGCAGCCTCTGCAGACACACCGCTGCCGTTAAACACCACGGAGAACTCGCTCTTTCTGTCACACTTTTCGTCTCCAGAGTCGCCCGACAAACAGAGGAGCAGGAAAGGGGACGGAAGCCCGTGTTTCCGACCGCCGTCCGGCTGAAACAGAGAAAGTGTACGAGAGACCGACTCGCCATCCTTCTACAGGGAGCAGCCATCTTCTTCTGAGGCATTCAATGTATGCGCAAAGAAAATCGTGACGCTGGCCACTACTCATAAAAAAGCAGCCTGGAAGTGTGATTTTCAACCCGTAATCCCTTTGGTGATAACAGAATACAGTTAAAACATTATTCGTGCCCTATGTAAAGCGTTGACCTTTTCAAAGTATGGCAGTTTTATTGTTGCTCGGGGGCTTCCAGCCAGTGTTCACCAGGAGAGTTTCTTATTTACGAGGATTTACGAAGTCGTGAAGGCAGCATGTTTCGAAGTCTACCCACAATGCTGTGCAGAAAAACGAACGGTCTATTCAGCTAAAAGTGGGGGAGGATGGTATTAATATACTTCTGTATAAAATATATATATATCACTGTGCGTACTAGATAAATATATTTCTATATGTATTAAGTAATATTCATACAATTCGTTCAATTTTACAGGATTTACAAGATTGCATTTGTAAATTTAAAATAATGTTGTTGTGACCTTGCCACCCCTAAAAACACATTATATACTATTGGTGTGGTCCTGGTTTTCAATGTCACGCTTGTTGTGTGTCAGACTGCTAACTATCTGACATCGAGGTTGTCGTTAAACATATCAAGCATGTATAAATTAAACTGTATATTAGGTAGTTCTGTGACTAACGTATGCCGACAGCTTGCCACCTCCCTGAACACAAACGGGAGCTCTCTGTAAGTGTGTTATGGTTCACTACGGTAGCATCCTTGTTAGCTAACGGCTAGTTCTGCTGCATGTTGAGTGTTATGTAGCAAACATAAAGCCAATACTAAACGCAGGATATGTCTTTGAGCTCATATATACTGTGTGTGTGTGTGTAGATGCAGTGGGTTGCAGAGAACATTATGTACCGGTGCTGTTAGACTTCAGGACACCGCAGCCTCCACCACAGACGTCGGGGAAACCTCCAGACGCTTCAGGTCAGACACACACCTGGACTCTGGATTACTTCTGGTGTTTTCCCTTTAACTTGTGTGTTTGCTCACTTAATGGAAGCACAACTCAGTGCTGTATTAACCCGAGCTGTAATCCCTCAGCACCCTTCCTCCACTGCCTGGTGAAGACACTTCGCTGAGATGGGGCGGAAAGGCGTTTGATGAGTTACCGATCGTTCATATTAAAGCCACATACAACAAGTAAGGAGCAGCTGCCATTAAAGCTACATGTCGTTATAATAAGTCCTCACTCTGTGATAATATTGATAATATTCTTATATTCTTATCCTGAAACCTCGCCTGTTTCCACGAGGGTTATATTTACATTAATATTAGATTCCGTAGATGATGTTTTAGGTTAGTTCAGTGGGTGTCAACACAAAATATAAACTATTAACTTATTTTACCACCTTCAAATTTCTGCAAAACCAAAGGTTCAACTTTTTAAATGTTTCCTAGTGGACGGAATAAATAAAGAAATACGTAAGTTATCAAATATGAAAATGACATTTGTGTAATTAATAGTAACCAAATTAACCGTATTGCAAAAAAAAAAAAATGTCTGATGATCTAGTGGACTCTTCTGGGTGTTGGGTTTAGTACAAAGTGATTTGTTGGACAGGATTTTCTTGTGGGGGATGTATAAGTTGTCATCAGCTTGACAGCGTGTGATAAACATATTTCTAATGCCCATCAGTTGTGAGTTGGTGACCCACTAACTGTGCTGTCCTGTTCCAGCACACACATCCAGCTGACAGACAGTCAGGGACAGTCGATAGTCAGGACGTCCTGTGGGACTGAAGGCTTCAAGAACAGCAAGAAGTCGACGCCCATCGCCGCTCAGACTACAGGCGTCGCCGCTGCTGTGGTAAGTTCTCACATGTTACTGTGGCCCCTACTGTGAGACATCAGGTTCTCTCTGACGGCTGGGCCACCTTGTTATCCAAGCAGGACGGGCATTTGTTTAAAATAAATGAGTATTAGTAAAGGCCAAATCCTGCTTCTTCACTCTGTGTACCAGTGTGTAATATATGGATATTAAGCGGTGTTGTAAATAAGCTGCCCTCTCTGAGGACTGTGACAGAACAGCAGTTGGTGTTAAGTGCTTATTTAGACGTTATATTAGGCTGATTTATGAAGACTGCTGGCTAACAGGGTTAAGGTCACACTGATTTGCAGTAAACACTCTGGAGAGATGAAGTGTTTTTATCATAGTGCTACCATAGTCTTTAATCATTATTCTGAGCTCTGGTCGGCTGTAGAGCTGAAAATAGCAGCTTCATCTCGTTTTGTTCGTGATTGAACGGCCAGATGGAATCTCAAAAAGTGTCATGCTGGTCAACCACTACGTCAAATTCTTCTGTTCGACTTACAATTAAGTATGGCTGCAATTATCAGTAATTTTCATTATCTATTGATCTGTTTTCTCAATTAACCAATCAATCACTTTGCCTACAAAATGTCAGAAAATGTTGAAAAAATCTGACTGGGGGTCCAAAGCAAATCCACACAAGCAAAGCGTGTTTGACACTCATCCACTAGTCATTTTAGTGTCACAATTTAATACAATCAACCTTTCACTGTATTCCCAGTCTACTCTAAACTGTCCTGTGTAAGAGTTTTTAAAATGTAACATAACAGGCTGACATATCTTCATGACTGTCATGCCATTTGGCATTTGTTTGCCAAAGTTATGTCTTAATAGTGTTCATACAGTGTAGTGAAGTTGGAAAAACACGACCATGATTTGACATCTCCGCACATTTTGGTACAGGAACAACGTTTCATTGGCCTTTACCCTCTGCATCATTCAGTTCTCCTAATTCTACCAAATGAAACATCAGTTGTGTGTGTGTGTCTGTGTCTGTGTGTGTCTGTGTGTCTGTGTGTCTGTCTCTTTCTCTGAACAGAAAGCGAAGGCAAACGGAGTGAAGTTTGTCCGTGTTTTAGTCAAAGGTCTTGGTCCTGGACGTCTGGTGAGTACAAGAAGAAAACGTGTTTCTGTTGTGCATTATTGCAGTGTATCTGTAGGCCTCCCGAAAGACTTACATTATTGTAAATCTTATTATTAAACCATTATAAATCTAATCTGGCAGCTTGTTGCTAGACTGTGTTCATAACTTTGTATTTAATTTTTCACTCTCTGTCAGAAAATAGTACAAAAAAATGCACATTGTAATTTCCCAGGGCTCAAGGTGACAAAGCTTGTTTTATCAGTCCAAAACTCAAAGATTTTCAATTAATAATGATAAAAAACAGATGAAAGCAGCAAATCATCACATCTGAGCTGGGACCAGCAAATGACTGAACAAAAATGAACAATTATTCAGTTGTCAAACCTCCATGCATTTTAAAACCAGCACACTTTTTTTCATGGTGCTTTCATTAGCAAAGGTGGCCTCATATTTCAAAGTTACAGGCTAGCATATGAAAGTTTAGAAAGTACAGAGGGGCACAATAGCATCATAGGGTGTTTGTACTACTGACCCTGTCTGGGTGTAACAGTGGGAGGCCAACCCGTAAACTGCGTGGCAGAATGAAACCTCTAATTAATGTCTGTTTTTATAATGAGGACCATTTAAGGCCGTTTGAGGAGGCACAGACATGTTGATCTGTTCCCAGCAGCGTTGTTATGAATGAATGCATTTCTCTCCGCGCTGCAGCCAGCCATCAAAGGCTTGTCGATGGCAGGCCTGAATGTGATATCGATCACTGACAACACCCCCGTGCCACACAATGGATGCCGCCCACGAAAGGCCAGAAGGATGTGACCTCCGAACCAGAATGCACTGCAACAGGAGGAAGCTGTTGTGTTGTTGTATGCTAATAAAGTGTTTTGTTGCGTAACTTTCCTGGCTCTGAGCTGACCTTTCATTATTCATTTATGGAAATCATTGCAGATGGTGTTATTAATGAGCAGAGAACAGGTGTCTCGGTCCTCTGCTGCGACTGTTGACACATGAATAAATCTTCAGCCTCACTGCAGGCACTCTGATGTGAGGGAGAGAAACAGGTTTCAAAGCTTTAATGCTGCACGTGTCTTTTATTTGGACCCAGCTGGTAGCAATGGGGAACTGAACCATTGAACCTGGACGTGTTAATCTCACCACATCACACATACCTGAAGTGAACAGATGAAGCAAATTCAACCTTCTTGTATGAACAAAGTTCTCTTTATATTTTACCTTTAAGTACATTAGACAGCCAAACATCTGTTTAACATGATATAATACACTGTAAAGCTCTGAAAAAAAAAAGCTGGCATTTACAGATCAGTATAGTGTTAAAATGGAAACATTAAATGAGACAAACATGCACCGAACCGCTATCCAGTAGTGTGGAGTGTCACTGTGTTTGAAGTAAACACCACCACCTCACCCATTAGTAATCATTCAATAGACTTTTCAACATCTCCACAGATGTTTAGCTTTTACCATTGACTGTTTATTTTGCCTTCAACCTTTTAGATGATGCTTGATATTCAGCTATAGTGTTTCCAGAGACCACCTCAGATTGTCTTTAACCTTTGAAATACAAGAAAACTCTCAAATTCCAAATCCCTAGAATACCACTGAAACCACATGACCACATACAGTAAGAAACAAAACAGCAGGATGCCCCTATTTAGTGCAAATACTCACAAGGCCAGTCCCCTTCACTCATTCGCTCAACAATTTAGTCGGGCGGTGGGAAAAAGGAAGCTGAAATGACCCAAAGGGGTCAAGTGATCAGTGTCAACACACAACACAGGAGTTTGTTTCAGTCACCTTCACACAGAATCCAGAGATGTGCTCACAGCTACACCATTAATTATTAACGGGGCCTCATTTATACAATACTGCTATGAGAAGAATCTTTAGTAATGATACGACTAAAATGTGTTAGCTTCTTTTATAAATGAGGCCCTTTAAGTTTATCACATAAAGCCAAAGGAGAGTACCACTGCTACTACAGTACCAGGAGATACAAAGTGATGATTCACTGCTCTCACATGCAAATGCTTCATTTTATATTAACAACATAACACACAGAGATATTAGCCCTTAATAATCAAACTTTTGTTTGCAATTGTAAATACTTTAATATTCTCCTTTTACTGAGGAACAAGTGCTTCAGCAGCCCTCAGACAGATTCAACTGGTGCTGACAATCCCCTGCTCTTGACATCATAAGGATTTTCCAACCATAGGAATTACAGGTTTAGACAAGAAGTTGGAGATACACTGTAAATAAATCATAATTCAAAAATGTGTATGTGTGGAGTAAATCTGTGATAAAAAGGCCTGTCAAACACCAGGAGTTACTGCAGTGGGTTCCCTGCTGTCTATCCTTTTGCCTTTTCTACTCCTCAAGCGTCACTAAACATTTCTAAATGCCGGAAAAATCTGCATCCATGTACTACAACTCTGACTGCAATCAATATTAAACAAACTCATTTGAACATGACAATATCAGGAAACCCTACTAGATTATGTATCTCCACTCAGCAGCAAAGTATTAAATTAAAGTATAGCAAGGGGACAACATCATATCTATATTCTTTATCTCTTATTTAGATGTCTGTGCACCTAAAGAAGGAAGGTAAGTGACTGCCGTGGGTTTCAATTGATCATTTAGTCAGTCGAGCTAGCTTTAAGGTTCCCAGCTGGTCAACATGCAGTTTGGTGCAGAGCCTTTTGACAACAACAAATACACAGTGTTGACTTTCAACCTCTGAAGAGGTCACTTTAAAGACGTATATAAATGTACATGTAGGTAAACATGAAGCTGCTGCTGACAAATTATATTTACATTTACACAATAAGACAGGAAAAGCATCTGAAATGATGCACAATCAGAAGGACAACCGCAACAATGAAGTCATTTATAGATGATTCATACAGCTGATAGAACCTTAAACTGATTTACTAGAAAAAATGCGCAGTACTGAAAATAGAGATTTTATACACACTACCTATACAAAAATACATCGCTTTATTTCTTCTTCTTTTACACAAACATCATAACTCTGGATCAGGCAAAAATCTCCTCACTGACCTAAGATATTGTGAACTCTGGGAGTACAGCAGCTCCAGTCGCAGCTTTCCCATTTTGCCTTCCCTCATCTGCAGTCCACCTAACAACAGCCACACATTCAGCGACACATCAGCAAAACAAAACTCAATCATCAGAAGAGCGACGCTGCTTTAAAACGAAACATAAATAACAGGTCGGATTATATTACTGTCAGTACGTTACCACAAGCTCGACACACAGCAGAAGAACACCAGAACAGCTGAAAGTTGATGATAAAGACATTACCAAGAGAAAAAAGGTCATTTTGCCTGGGAAGCCTTTTCAACACGACTGGAAGAAGAGTAATGGGCGGCACACAAAGCAACAGTTTACTCATCAGGCTTCCTGATTTTTTGCCATGGCTTTTCCAGGCCTTTTTTCCCCTGTCCAAGAAGGATATTTAATGAAGGAATCGCCCTTCATTGTTAAGGATAATGTAGTGGACAGTGTAAAGTATTTGAATTAGATCACATCACTCATATTCTTTACAGCAGCAAATTTACAATTTGTTTGACGGTGAAGTCAACAACTACATTGACTGTGTAGGCATCAGCATTGGATGACATTTCTTTCAGACTCTTCCAGACTGTGCAACGTCAAAACATTACAGCGACTGGAACACTAGTGGAGGAGATTTGACGGTCAAAATCCCTTCTGGATGGGTTAAAGTGAACAAAGTGAAAGAGTCCTCAACACATATTGTTGATGTTGCCTTGGCAAAGGCACTTAACCGCAGACTGTCCCAGTAAACCAGAGACTGTGTGGAGTGCACTGTGTTTGAGTGTGAGGGCTGAAAACTGCAGAATCTGATGACACAGGAGCTCCGTTTTAGTTTCAGCTCAAGCATTTGGTGAGTCTTAAATATTGCACTTTGAAAGAGGGAGACGCAACGTGGAAGTTAAATATTAGAGGGATAAGGAGTGATTGTGCATACAGCCCTCGGGTTAGGAGCTAGAAAAGGGACGATAGGTTGGCACTGCGGGGCAAGTGCAGGAGTGAATTTGGTGAACTGGAGGACACACAGAAGCCCCTACTGAGACAAAGAAGAGGCCTTTCATTACTCCACATCACTTCCCATGGAGGTTGCTGAGCTCAATGTCCTCCTTGCGGCGTTTCTGTTGGGTGAAGAGGGAGCTGAAGGGGTAGAGTTTTGCTTTGGCTGGGTAGCGCTGGCCAGCAATGTCCACCTCGTAGTCCCCACGGTTGATGAAGTCCGGGGTGATGGGTGTGGGGAGCCCTTCTGGGCCAGGCGGCGGAGATACAAAGCCAAGGCAGACGTGGCGCTCCAGAGTGTAGCTGTAAGCGCTGCTGGTGGTCGTTCCGGCTAGCTGACCGTTACAGTAGATGGGCTCGCCCCACCATGGCCACAGGTCCAGTTCAGTGTCGTGGTCCTCCAGAACAAGCATGACAAACCGCCGAGACACACCGTCCTGACGCTGCTGCAGCAAGGCCTCACGACCAAGGAAATCTGTGTCCTGATGGAGGCATAGAGAGGAGTGAGGAGAGAAGGGAGGTGTAGCAGCAAATAGGAGAAATAGAAGAAGGAAAGAGGAATTAATAAAAAGTGCAAAGAGATAAAGGACAGAATCCTACAAACATTCAAAATCTACAAACACTGTACAGCTCTGTTAGGAGAAACAGGGAACAACCTTTTATTTCATACATTTCTTCAATAACAGACTGACTCATCTCAAGGCAATCTGTGAAACCAATTTTACACTGAGGTCCATTCATTATACTGTGCTGACATTATTACTGTGTGCAGCAGACGACACAACTGTGTTCCACTGTTTTCAAAATGAGAGTGATGAACTTTAACACTGCTGTTGTGCCTGCAGGTGCAGCTTGGTAACAATTTTTCCTCTACATCCCAGCAAAGACTGTAACACGGATGTTTAAGGGTTTAGCAAAGCAGATGACACAGCACCTCTTATTATTGTGCAATTATTCTCTCCTCTTCGAACCATTAAAACCAAGTAAAAAAAAGTGAGAGTAAAGTGTTCAATTTAAAGCAAGCTCTTCATGTAAGTCAACATCATTCTGTAATAATGTAATAGGACAGAAACACAATGCGTCAGTACTCTACATCATTATCTCCTCTCCACTAAAAGCTTGATAACAGAAGGAGTTGCTTTTTTGCAACCCAAAATAAAAAAGCAGCAGTCATGATCCACACTGATGTCACAGTTTGATGTGGTTACACAGATGAACTTGGAACAAACCTTGTCAAACTTCACCCTGAACTCTCGTCCACACTCCAGCGGGGTGGTGAAGGTGTCCAGGTCCTGACCCCAGAAGGCAAAGAATTTCTCTATGCGTAGGCTGCGCAGTGCGTAGTACCCTGCATTACGAATCCCGTACTTCTGACCCACTGATATGACCTCGTTGTACACGTGCAGAGCATACTGTGGAGATCAGAGGAAAACACTAATGTTAGTTGTGATGTACTGTACAGTTTAGCACTTTCTGAAACCTTTACCACCCATCCTGTGGAATGGTGACTAGATACATATTTTTTGTGTGTGCAGATGTGTGCAGATGTGAGCAGGTCTAACCTCTATAGGTATGTAGAGCATGAAACCTGGTTCGCCAGTGTGAGTCATACTCATCACTCTGATCCCGTTGGCATAGCCAACACTCATCTCCTGTAAACAGATACACACGGTCAATAACCAATAACTGCTACTGATAACAACACAGGTGCAACCTAACATACTGCTCCTGCTGCTACTACTTTATCGATTTCAATAATTTATATTACCATTTTACCTATAGTTATTAGTACTCTGTCAATGTTATTGCAACTAGACTTTGTTTCCTACCTTACAGAACATGGAGGGGAAGTGGTCAGGTGTCATGGAAACATACGACAGTTCAGCCAGAACGTCCATTGCACGAGGTCCAATCAGATTTAAAGCTGTGGGTAGAGGATCAGAGTTATTAACACTTTAGACCTTCTGATGAACAAAGTTCAACCAGGTCAGATACTTTCACCCTGAAGGTTTCCCGACTCAGTTCACAGTTAGTGTTAATATAATAATTTATAGAACTTTGTAGGAAATGAAAATCAATTCTAGTATTTGGACCATTAGCGTTGGGACATACTGAACAATGTCATGGGTACGTTTTGGGACAGACATCTTCAGTTTGTGTTTTATCTTGTAAATACAAAATAGAATGATGATCTAGTGTTGCTCACACTTGAGACAGTTATGGTAATTACATTCCAAATACAAATTATATTTTGGAAATGTAATTAACCATTCTCTTGGTCCCTTAGTCTCTAATTTTGCCAACAACAAACCCAAAATGAGGTCACTTAAATAACTGGGTTAAGAGAGGATGGTGGCTGTGGGATACTGGTGCTTTGCTTCCACCCTTTAATATCATGTGGGCACTAGATGGCAACGTCACTGTAAGACAGTGTGCTTACCAGTGTACTTCCAGCTGACATCCTCTAGGTGGAGGTGTGGGTCATTGGGCATGTGTTTCTTTATCCAGGACCAACAGTGGACCTGCTGGTCTGACGGAGACACGATGAAGAAGCTGAAGAGGGAACAAGTATGTAATGTCTTTTAAATGGCCATGGTCAGCTCTATGTCTTTAGTATTATTTCCTAGAAGTCACAAACCTGTTCTTGCTGAGGCGGACCACGCTGCAGTCATTCTCATAGCCTCCCCTCTCATTCAGCATGCCGGTGTGGACAATATGTCCAACGGGAACATCGAGGTCGTTGGCACACAGATGTTGCAGCAGGTCCAGGGCCTGGTCCTTCGTTGACTGGAACATCAGGACAGACCAGAAGGTTCAACTTAAATCACTTTAACACTGTGGATCCATTATTCATTGACTGAACTTCATTTGTTTAAAAAGACATAATACATTACTGCTGCATCAGTGGCTCCCAGTTGGGAAAGAACTGCATAATGTGCCAAATTAAAAACATTTTGTAATGTTCTGGCACAGCTGAACCCAACACTGATGGAAGACACATGCTGACTCACTAGGTGTGACCAGATGAGTAATGTAAGTTTAGAAGTCTGTACCCACAGAGAAATGTGCCGCAGGCAGTTTTCTGTCCTACGTGATGTGGTCCTGATTAACCCATGTAAGTTGTCCATAGTGCATATCGCAAGACTTACAGTCAGTTCAAACTTGGTGAAGGACGACATATCAATGACACAGACGGCCTCTTTGCAGCATTTGACCTCTGCTCCAACAATGTCAAACCAGTCCGGCTTGTAGAACGTCTTACTCTGGTCCAGAGACAGAAGATCTGCACATACATAAGCAACCAAAGAGATACCATGGTGTGCCATTAAGCAATGAGAATATACAAACAAACTCCACCAAGTGATTTTACTCATTAAACTGCATTACAGGCTACAATTTACAACGCCTGATTATCTTCTATGAAATACAAAATAAAAATCTAACTATTTGAATCCCTTTAAACCTGTGCAAACATTGATAGTTAGACTCGCCACATCCACTCATAGTTCATCACAGGAATATTATTATCAAACATACCTATGCGTTTTTATAAAAGTGATTCTCAGTCATGTGACATCAGCATCATCAAATTAACAGGATTTCCCTGACATTTACTGCACTTGAATACCCTGTTCTTAATCATTTGGAATCTGAAGATAGTAAAGTTTGAAGACTTCAAGATAAAGAGAATGTAGCATGTTGCTGATGAGTGATCTGTACCTTTCCCTGGAGGAACAAAGTATTTGGGCCTTTCAAAACCATGTTTCTCCATCCAGCGAGCTCCCTGGGTGTCCAGACGGTCATACAGAGGGCTGGTCCGCAGCTGACGCCCGGTCTGGAAGTCCCAGCGAGGAACCTTCAGTTCATACAGCAGAGCTGGACACAAGCACACACAGACCTAATCATACCAAAAGCAAAACTGAAAAAACACTTCAAACACTTCATTATGATGCTTAACTGACCTTTAAGGTGTCTTACTCTATAGTAAGAATTTGTAACTTATCAGATGTTATTGTGGTACTGCTGCTGCTTGTCTTGTCTTGCTTATTATCTTCAACTTAACTTTAGAGTGTGTTTTATATATAACAAGAGGTCACTACTCACGCATGACTTCCATTACTCTGTGTCGCAGGAAGGTTCGGCTGCTCTGCAGGTTTCCAAAGCGTTTGATGTCCAGTGCCCAGACATTGGCAGTGGGGTAGCCATACGTCATCCACTCTGCCAAGTATCTGGATACCAAAGCACACAACATGCTATTTGTGTCTCATTGTAATGCACTCAAGACACATTCTGATCACAATGCTGGTCACTGACTTTAATAAACTGAGGTTAAATTAAGAGATGTTCAGTAACCCCCCTAAATAATGTATTCAGGTGTAAAATGTAGTGAACTATAGTCTTCAAAACCATTTGCTTACTTGCCAGCTCCTCCAGCAAAGGCCAAGCCGGAGGAGTTCATCCCTGCCAGCACGTAGTAGCCAGAGACACCCGGCGTCTCCCCCATCAGGCAGCGCATATCAGGGGTGAAGGACTCCGGACAGTTGACCAGCTGATGGATCTCAGCTGACTCAAGACCTGGCATTCTCCTCAACAAGGCACTCAGCATTGGTTCTGGAGGTAGAAGACAATAAAGTTGCTAAACAATCTCAATTAAGAAATTGTACAAATAGGTGCCATGTCCACATTAATATACGGCATTTTCAAATCAGTAATGCTTTCACATAATTAACTTAAAATACAATGGGAAATAGAACACCTGCTGTTTTAAAGCTATGTCAGCTGTACTGTCAGTTTTTGTCAACATTTCCAAAAACGAGGCTGCCAATTGTCTTCCTGCCTCTATATTGCCTTTCAAATCACTGAAAAACATAAATAAACAAAACATGAGTTTGCTGTAAGTGCCTTTGCCCAACCACCACCTGACCTAAACCATCTACTACTGTGCAAGACTACATACTACAGCTGCTGCTATCCAGCACACACTGCATTCATTCCACATGTTGTGCTATAAACAGTCCAGCAGGTTTTTCCAGCATGAAGGTGGACCCAGAGGCAACAAGTTTAAATGTGACAGTACAACGTAAAAATCCACTGCAAGTAAAAGCAGGAAAATGTGATTGGTATCAATAAGTGATTGCAACACACAAGACCCTCAACACGTAAGATTGCAGACTTGTGATCCAACATCATGAAAGGGCAAACTTCACTGGAGACTTCACTGTTTTCTAGTTAATACTGTACTGAAGCTATCATTCATACCTTTAAGCAGTATAATAACAATTCTTGACAGGGGGTGGAGCTGGTGTTCAGTATAGTTCATGGTACAGGTACAACTGCTGAACAGGTGGTGGCAGTTTGATTGTGTGCTTTGCTGCAGTTCAAGGTTGGCTGGTGATACAGTGCTGCCTTTACGACAGCCTGTCACACTGCATGAGGAATCTCAGATTACTAACATAGGGCCAAGGCCAAAAGACAAGTGTATGTGTGTACATGTGTATAGAGAGGTGTACTTTGAACTGACACTGATTACAGTTAAAGTGCAATTAATGGAATGAAATAAACATTTCAAAAACCTACCTGCACTAAAATTACTTTAATTAATGAAAGACACTAATAATAAACTGGACACAGCGAGGCTTCATTTTAGCCTCGCCAAAAAAACACCAAACCAAAGGCATTACCAAAGTGGTCCCAGTCCTCCTGCATGTTCTGGATCTCCAGCTGGTTGCGGCCCTCTGTGAAGATGGGTTTGGGGTTCTTCTCAAAGCCCCCTGAAAGAAGGCCTCCCTGCCATGGCCGTGCATATATCCTGCCATCCATATCAATCACCACTGGAGACAAGACACAGGCTCAGTTAGATCACCTCCTCTGCGCTCCATGGTAGCCAACCTGTAACCTCAAGCAACAGACATTAAGACGCAGAAAAAGTGAACTTTAATGGTAAATAATGATTTTCATTTTCCATCTCTCACACACTCATTCAACCTGCCCAGTCTATACACACATTTAACATTATTAGCACTGACATATCCTCCACTGTAATGATTGTGAAAATACTAATTAAATAGAGGTGTTGGCTCTAAATGTTTAAATGTACAAATGGGACTATAATGGCATATAATCACAGTCTTCGCCATATGTCACTTTGTCAGCTTCATCTTAGAAGAAATAACTGGGGGACAGGCTAGGAGATGATTGGAATAATATACTGTGCAAGGAGTTAAACCATTTTCCCAAAATGTGGAGGATCTTCTCTATTACAGAGATCATATTAAGCAGATAAAATCCATTAGCGACTGTGCCTGCAGCAAGAAAAAGTGAACTGTGTGTTCACTGTGTGTTCACTGTGTGTGAGACCTGGTGTGCTGGGTGGAAGTGGCTCCTGGAGAGGTTTGGTAAGAAGGTAGAAGTGTTCACAGCCATGAAGAGGAACAGACACCTTCATCTCACTAGCCTGGCCCAGCTCATAAGCCCACTAGAGCAAGAGACAGACAGAACAAATATCTCACACATCTGTTGCTCTGAACACAGGTAAATTGACTGTGCCAACCTACCAAATAAGATGAGCTATTTACAACAGGAACTCAAACTAGAGACTAATTGTCGCCTCAGACTCCCCATTAAACTGGCAACTGGCTCCATTAACGCTGTAATAATACTCAACTAATTCCCTGTTGGAGACACTGCCATCTGTCCTGTAAGTCTTCCCATTTGTTTGGTCGTACTGTGTTTGTCTATTAGTTCAATGCAGATTTGAGAAGAAAGATTTATACTGAATAAATTCCTAAAAGCTTGCAAAGGTTTTCTCTCATTAATTCCCCCAATCTAAGCAGGCACTCAGACCTGTTGATGCTTCCCCATTTGTATCTGACAATCCCACTCTGGGATTTACCTGTCCAGCACAGTTGACAAAATATTCACACTCGATGGAGCCACGGTCAGTCTCTACCGCCATCACTTGACCCTTCTCTACCAGAACCTGCTGAACACTGGTTCGCTCCAGGATTTGAACCCCTGGACAGGATGAGAAAAACGAGGAGATGTAGTAGGAGGCAAAAAGGAGAAAAGTGAGGAAGACAGAAGGAGGAGGTGCCAGAGAAGAGGAGAATCAGAGGGAGAAACAGTAAAGGGTTAGAATTAAAGGTAGAATAAACTACTGGTTGTAAGTAGGTAGGATGGTCCATTAATGTTTTATCAAAGTCGAGGCTGTGAGTTTTTCTTACCATATCCAGCTGCAGCCACAGCCAGGGCGTGGTTAAGATCAGGTGGAGACACCACAGCATCTGCAGGCAGATGGAGTGCCCCCACCAGGTCATGAATGTTAACAAGAGGGTGGAGTTTGGCCACCTCTTTAGGCTTAATGATGCTACAGCTGATCCCCATTACCCTAAGTAAAAAAAAAAAGATCAAGATGAAGCCCTAATAGAATACATATTTCATATTTAAAGCCCTGCATATCTAACCTGTTTCCAGACCTCTGAATAATTGAGTGTGCCTGAAAGCACCATCACCAAATCTACCCATTGCGGTTTATTCCCCAATACTTATTATTATTCTTCTGTGTCGTTTTCCGGTCCCGAGCTACTCCTCGGCCGCAGTTTGGTCGCACAATAACCACAAAAAAAAAAAGGTATCAAAATGGTGCGGCTCGGCCGGGGACATTAGGTGCATGACTTTCTAAGCGTTTCCGCCCAACCGGTTTTGGCCGATAAAATCCCGCGCAAAAAACGCAGGCCACAAAAATAATGAAGTGGGTGTGTATTGGACGAATGCCTCACGAGTGCTAGAGCCGCGTGAACATCAATCCCTCCGAGTGTAGAAAGTGTAAAATAAATTGTTGAAAAATGACATTTTAAACTGCTCTGCAAGGCCACAAATGGACTCCCTACAGTAAAATATTAATAAGGTAGAAACGTAGGGTAAATTCGTTGAGTTCGCAGTGATAATACTGCTGAAGGCTGTCCAGACTAATGTTTATGGCCGGGAAACCCGGCACTGATGCGGGCCAGAAACACCTCCCCTCCACGCCCCATCACGCCTGCCCATGTTAAATTGGAGGGGCGAAGAGACGAAATTTGAAAGTAGCTCCGTGTGAACCCTGTTCTTTCTCAATCTCCGGCGAGGTCACATTTTTTTAGGCTG